AATTTGGTGGAAAGTCAAAGATAAGCTAAACTCGTAATATAGTCATTTGATAGCTCTGAATCTTCTCTTGAAAACTAGTACAAAGTTAGGAGAACTTTCAGCCAAATCAAGCATAAAAGTCCTTAAAAGCAAGTTGACAGAAAAAAAAAATCGTTGTCATTTGTACGGTCGATCGGTGGATCGAATCGTCAATTAATCAAGCTTCTTTATAAGCTTCTTTATAACATTATATTTAATTCGATTTCTAAACATGAATCTTCTCATTTCAGGAAATCCCGGAACCCCCACTTGATCTTGAAACTTATCAACGCGCCACTGATCTTCATTTTGCAGCGATTCGAGCGAAAACTGGGAGAGTTTATTACGTGAATCCATATTATGTAGCCGCTTGGTCAAATGTATTTCAAGTGAGTTTAAAGTTCGTTTAATCGTTTAAAGTTTAAACAAATCGTCATATTCTCTAATCATTTTTCTCTCTCTAGGAACGAATCTTTCACAATTCTTCGACACAAAGCGAGGAATTTTTCTGCCCATGTTCACATGAAGAGCTTAAAGCTTTCCTTATGGCAATTCATCCACCACAATTGAGAATAAATGGTAACCAAAGCTTTAATCTTAAATCTTAAATGTTAAATCATTAATCTTTAATCTTAAATGTTAAATCATTAATCTTTAATCATTAATCTTTAATCTTCAATCATTAATCTTTAATCTTTAATCTTTAATCTTTAATCTTTAATCTTTAATCTTTAATCTTCAATCATTAATCTTCAATCATTAATCTTTAATCTTAAATCATTAATCTTCAATCATTAATCTTTAATCTTTAATCTTTAATCTTCAATCATTAATCTTTAATCTTTAATCTTTAATCTTAAATCATTAATCTTTAATCTTTAATCTTTAATCTTTAATCTTTAATCTTCAATCTTCAATCATTAATCTTCAATCATTAATCATTAACCTTAAATCTTTAATCTTCAATCATTAATCTTCAATCATTAATCTTTAATCTTAAATCATTAATCTTTAATCTTAAATCATTAATCTTCAATCATTAATCTTTAATCTTTAATCTTTAATCTTCAATCATTAATCTTTAATCTTTAATCTTTAATCTTCAATCATTAATCTTTAATCTTTAATCTTTAATCTTTAATCTTTAATCTTTAATCTTTAATCTTCAATCATTAATCTTCAATCATTAACCTTAAATCTTTAATCTTAAATCATTAATCTTCAATCATTAATCTTTTTTATCTAAAAAATTGTTAGAGCAAAACATTGGCCCAATTCTGATGGCTGGTTGTCGAATGGAATCGCCGGCACTTTTGAGAAAATGTGCTCATATCTTATTGCAACCACAGACACAAGTAAAAAGAAAAAAAGAAAAGAAAAAAGGAAAAAAAATAATCTTTCGAAATTCAGCTATCAGTTTTTGTGCGTTTATCGCTATTGGATCGTTGTTTTCTTCACGAAATGATCCCCGCTTGTTTGTCGATGGTTCAACGACCAGAGCATTTGATACAAATGACACAACAAAGCACTTGTAAGCTATCTAGCTATCTAGCTGTAAGCAGAGTCATTTATGATGTCAATATTTCTAGATGATTGTCTTTCAACGAGAGCCCGTGCATCTATGATGGATCGATTGTCGATTTTATTGGATAAACCCGGAATGCAACCACATCAGTGTTTCCGGTTTGGTTTAGGGGAAATTAAAGATTATTAGGTTCTTTATAAGCTTCTTTATGAACAAAAGTTCTTTATAAGCTTCTTTTTAAGCTTCTTTTTAAGCTTCTTTATCATCTTCTTTATAATCTTCTTTATAATCTTCTTTATAAGCTTCTTTATAAGCTTCTTTTTAAGCTTGTTTATAATCATCTTTATAATCATCTTTATAAACATCTTTATAATCATCTTTATAATCATCTTTATAATCATCTTTATAATCTTCTTTATAAGCTTCTTTATAATCTTCTTTATAATCTTCTTTATAAGCTTTAAAAGCTCATTTACAAAGCTAAAATGCAATTTTCAGTTGCAAAGCGCACAGCACTTGCTCGGGAGTGACATGGATGTGTCCACAATGTAAAACCTATTCATCGGATGCGAATTTGTTGCGAAATACGGCGGCGAGTAGTGGGACGGCACAAGCAGCATCGTTGCAAGGAATACAGGGAATACAGGGAATACAGGGACAACAATACGGTGGAGGAGGTGCAATACAACAACAAGGAGGGACAATCATGACGACATCGACAACCGGGGTACAGGGATTGCGGTAATCCAATGAAAGATCATTTCAATCAGCTTACAAGGGAAAGTCAACTGGATAGGCGAGTGAAATGAGATGAGAGCTATCGATCTATCGATCCATAGATCTATGGACGTAGAATTTCCCCCCGGAATCCGAATCGGCTTTCCGGTTTTTGCTAAACGGCAATGATGGGGCTCCAAAGTGCCCCATCATCAGCCTATCCTAGCCCAATCCTAGCCGACTACCAATCGGCCACCACCGCTCCATGAGATCTCTGTGAAATCTGCTCATACACTCGAGGGAGCATTTTTAAAATCCCATACAAAACTTTACATGCTTAGAACTTTTGACAGAGTGCCGTTTAGCAAAAAAGGAAAGCAGATTCGCACTCAGCGTGAAACTCTTCGTCGATAGGTCTATGGCTCATGTCATTTGGCCAGCTTATCCAGTTGATCTTCCCATGTAAGTTTAATTCCAATTATAGTTCAATGTAGTATCAAGAAAGCAAAAACAAAGATCCCAAAAAGAACCCGAAAGGCTTCGATCCAACGACTAACCGAGCCCGATGTTGCTTAACTTGGCAGATCGGACGGGTGCGCCCGCTAGGCTTCTTGCTTGAGATCACGGAAATGTGGTTGTAAAAGAGATTTTTATAGATGGACCTAGGGATTTGGGATGCTTTACAGAAATGAAAATGCAATTATTTTGATATTAGATATTCAGTTATTCCGGTGAATTTTTAAAAAAAAAAGTTTTTTCTTTTTGATTTTCCATCTGTAAACAAATCAAAAAGGCAGATTTATCCATTTTATTTATTTCTTTTTCCGTTCTTCTCCTTTTTATCTTCTGCCCGCTAAACTGCCTTTTAGGTATTTCAGAGATTTTTAGAGATTTCTCCTCCTTTTTAAGCCCATTCCATTTCAAATTTCTCTTTCGTGCTGTGATTTTAAAAGAAAATCTTTTTTTTTTGAATCTATAGCAATTTTTCTATATGTAAATTGGCTCAATAAGAAGATTTTAGCAATTTGAAGCAATTTGAAATGACAATTTTTCCATTTTCTCTTCTGGTTAGTTTTATTTTTATCTTTTAGTTTAAAAAAAAATCTTGCATTTTAAAGAAAACCCACATTGCAATAAAGTTTTGATTTATTTGTCTATTGAAAAGACAGAAGAAAGCACAGATTTATTTGTCTAATGAAAAGACAGAAGAAAGCACAGAAAAAGTACTAGAGATTAAAAAGATCAATTGGGTTATTTTATTGAGTTATTTAATTGGGTTATTGAATTGGGTTATTGAATTGGGTTATTGGGGTTTTTTCCCCTCGACAAACATCCTATTCTTCTGGGTTGAAAACAAATGAATATCTGCGTGATATCTGCGTGATCAATTGTCCTTATTAGCCCCCCTCTTAGTTCCCGTTTTCACATTGAATCCATGTGTAATTAGGCGTTCGTAAGTGCAAAATGTATCCTCAGCTCTATTACCATACCTAACATCAAAACTTATCGGATGTGTTTTGTTGCTTATGTCCGCCCCATTCTTGAATACGCTTCTTTGATTTGGTCTCCTTTCCTATTAAATCTTATTCAAAAAATAGAAAAAATGTTCAGAGGCACTTCACCAGAATTGGTCTTTTGACCAGAGTTGCTGAAATTAATTTTGACAAATTCTCCTTCTTTATTTATTCAAATAGATTGCAACTCTTTGGTCTGATTTTTCGATTTCTAAAAGTAGTATATAAAAATTGTTTCAGAAAAATTCGTTTCGATTCCAGTTTTCTGCTTACAAAAGACTGGAACAATCCTCCTTCAAAATCTCAACAAAATTCTCCTCCTTTAGTTATTCAAATAGATTGGAACTCTTTGGTCTTGAAACGTTACACCAACGCCGCCTTATCATCGATTTAGTGGAATGCTTTAAAATTGTTAAAGGCATTCATCCCGACCATTCATCCCGACCATTCATCCCGACCATTCATCCCGACCATTCATCCCTTTTTTCTGGTGTCTTTGAATTCGGCTCTCTACGTGGCGCTTCCAGAAGAGGGCTTTTTCTCATACGCCAACCTTCCGTTTCCTCTAAAAGCCTCCACAGTTTCTTTTTTAATCGAGAATTGTGGAACCTTTCATGTTCGTGATATTCCCACCTTGCCTAGATTTAAAGCCACCCAATTTCGGCAATTGATTTGACTGCTTTGTGATTCTTTCTTGAGGTATCTTTTTATCTTTTCGGTGTGTTTTGAGTGGTGTCCTGAGTGATTATTGTGATCTTGTTTTGGAGTTAATCAACTGAATAAAGCATACATATATATGTTGTGTCCGATTTAGATTTAGTTTATATTATTGTTCAATCTATATAAGGCGTATTATTGTTCAATCTATATAAGATTTAGATTGAATCTAAATCGGACGGAAATCTAAATCGGACACAACATATATATATATTTAAAAGTGACATTAAAAATCATTGATCAAAATCATTTCCATCTTTTGATCACTAAGATTACACAAATAAATGGAAAAAGATCGGATTTTGCCGGCGGCAAAATCCCCGAAATCAGTATCTTATCATTGAAGGAATAATGATGTCAAAAAGGGAAAGAGAATTTTCATTTCATTCATTTGATTCATTTGATTCATTTGATTCATTTCATTTGATTCATTCATTTCATTCATTTCATCCATTTCATTCATTTCATCCATTCCACTCACTTCAACTCAATCTAAATCCCTTCCAATAATGAGTCCAGTATGTTTTTGCAAATTCAACTCAAATCCATTTCGCATACAGCCAATTATCGACATCGATTTTGTCGCCTCATCATCGCCTCCAAGAAACTCCAATGGGAAACCACCACTCTTGCCACAATCACCGAGTTTGTCTGTGAGTTTTATTATCTAGCAAACATAGAAGTCTCATATTTCAAAGAGTTTTTTTTTTTGATTTAAAGAATCTTACCTAATCAAGGAGTCAAGCCGCTTTCCCCCCCACAGATTTCCCCCCTAAATTGAGGTCTAAGTGAGTCGATTTTCTCTCTTCTTTTTTTTTCGGTAGAAACTTCCACAACCACTGCAATTTTGGTAAATTGGTGGGGATTGGGAAAGTTGTGAAAAAAAAAGAGAACGGAAAGGGTAATCGCTTTTTCATTTTTTTGGGGGGGCATTTTCGTTGATCTATTCCCCACGTGGCTCGGCCATTTCATCCATTTCACAATTCCTTTTTTGCAAAATTTCCTACAGTAATCGTTGACTGAACAATGGTCCCTCCAGAGGTGAATGGTGTGGTTGATGAAGGCGATTGTTTGGTGAGAAAGATGTTAGATCAAAAACTAACGCTATAATAACACAGTAACCGATACTAAAGAGTTATTGCTAAGTATTTCTTGGTTTTGAGGTTGGATTTAGTACTAGATTTAGTCTACTTTCCTGGTTCCGAGGTTGGATTTAGTACTAGCTTTAGTCTACTTCCTTGGTTCCAAAGCTGGAGTTAGTACTAGATTTAGTCTAGTTTCCTCTTCTGAAGTTGGAGTTAGTACTAGATTTAGTCTAGTTTCCTTCTGAAGCTAGAGTTAGTACTAGATTTAGTCTAGTTTCCTCTTCTGAAGCTGGAGTTAGTACTAGATTTAGTCTAGTTTCCTTCTGAAGCTAGAGTTAGTACTAAATTTAGTCTAGTTTCCTTCTGAAGCTAGAGTTAGTACTAGATTTAGTCTAGTTTCCTTCTGAAGCTAGAGTTAGTACTAGATTTAGTCTAGCTTCCTTCTGAAGCTGGAGTTAGTACTAGATTTAGTCTAGCTTCCTTCTGAAGCTGGAGTTAGTACTAGATTTAGTCTAGTTTCCTTCTGAAGCTAGAGTTAGTACTAGATTTAGTCTAGTTTCCTTCTGAAGCTAGAGTTAGTACTAGATTTAGTCTACTTACCATATATCTATTACTGTAACCATTTAGGATCAGCACAGTTCTCACAGCACAGATCAGATCACTAAAAAAGTGAAAATTGATGATTGATGATCTAATTGATCATTCATCCTTTTCATTTCATTCAATCGATTTCCCCAAAAACCAAAATTGAGAGTAATCACGAGAGGATTTCATCGAAATCCCCCACCCCATTTCTCTATCGATATTTCCCCATCACCCCATTTATTACTTACTTTTTGCCATACTAAAATTCTTTTAACTATGACATTAGAGGAAAATGATGGAGCAGCTGAGATTTTATCGGTAATTTTAAAAGAAAAACAGATGATTATTTGAATTGTTTAGCGTTATGCAATGGATTCGTACATTGCTGATGTGTCAAATACAGCCGGGCATACATCGATCATGTTCACACTTAAAGAAGAACCCGGTGCACTCGCCGAAACGTTGAGAATCTTTAAGGTAATGTTGTCAAGAGGAAAATAGAAAATATTTAAGCAAACTATATAAGTCCTTTTTTTTTAGAAGATTGATTGAGAAAAAGTGAAAATTGACTGATCTATTCAAAAGATAAAGAGAAAAGTTTGCGTATCGATAATTTTAAACCCCCTAATCGCTTTGCAAGAGTTTTGAGAGTACTGTAGTACTCTTAAAAGTACTGTAATACTCTTAAAAGTACTTTAGTACTCTTAAAAGTACTTTAGTACTCTTAAAAGTACTTTAGTACTCTTAAAAGTACTGTAGTACTCTTAAAAGTACTTTAGTACTCTTAAAAGTACTTTAGTACTCTTAAAAGTACTGTAGTACTCTTAAAAGTACTTTAGTACTCTTAAAAGTACTGTAATACTCTTAAAAGTACTTTAGTACTCTTAAAAGTACTGTAATACTCTTAAAAGTACTGTAATACTCTTAAAAGTACTTTAGTACTCTTAAAAGTACTGTAATACTCTTAAAAGTACTGTAATACTCTTAAAAGTACTGTAATACTCTTAAAAGTACCGTTTCTGCTATGGAGTACTCTGTTAAAAGTTATAAGTGTGCAAAGTTTTGTATTTTTGTATGGGATTTCAAAAAAGAATCATCTCTTGAGTTTAAAAGTAGATTTCCCAAGGACTTTAGAAGAATAGAAGAAGAAGGAAGAGAGGCATTCAAGAGGCATCCAAGATAGTGACCGTGCTTCCAGTTTTGCCATCTAAAAATCAAACAGCATGCAGCACAATTTATAACTCACTTTTCCTAGGGCTGGCTCAGAGAGGACAGAAATTTCTCGTAGAGTAAAAGGGCAAAAGCCAACTTGATCTTGATTTTCAGTACGAATACAGAGCGCGAAAGCGTGACCGATCAATCCTTTTGAATCAGAAAAGTTAAGAAGAAGTGCAAGAAGTTAAGAAACTGTACTCCTCTTGCAAGAAGTTAAGAAACTTCTTGCAAGAGGTGTCAGAAAAGTTACCACAGGGAAATTTACCATCTAAAAATCAAACAGCATGGAGCACAATTTATAATTCACTTGCACTTTCTCAAAAATCATCTCCGTAGAAAGCCCTGAACATCGCCGCTAAATCATTTGAATCAATTGTAGCTCTAGGATTCTAGAGAAGTGATAGCCGAGTGACAGTGGGTTAGTCTCAAAAGGAAAGCGATAGCCGAGTGACAGTGGGTTAGTCTCAAAAGGAAAGTGGTAGCCGAGTGACAGTGGGTTAGTCTCAAAAGGAAATCCTTGCTATTTCGAGGATCTAGTTTTACTTAAGCATAAAACTATGAATTCTACTAAACTCGTTTCCTTTCTAAATCAAATTTTGAAAGGAACGGAGATGATTTTTGTTTTTGCCTAGATCTATTATAAGTAGAGTGTGCTCGTAGATAGTTTTATAAAAGTTACGGTAATTTTCGAGAGCACATAGAACCGGGTTTATCTGGAATCCCCTCAGCCTCCGCAGATCAATCGAATCCCCTCAGCCTCACCACGTGACTCTCCCTTTTCCACCAACACCGAAATGCCTCGTTGATCGTTTGAATCTTTAAATCTCTATCCCTTTTTCTCTCAAAAATTTCCCCCCATTCATTGAAGCGCATAATTTGATGCTTTGATCTTTCCAATTTTTTTTTGCCTTGTCAATTTTGATGATTGTCACAAGTTCTCCCCCCGCGTTCCAATATCAAAAATAACTCGGAAACATTGCCAGATCATCTAGAAGAGAAATAAATACAACAATTACCGGTTTGCAAAAACGCCAAAAATGTAAAAAATAGTTTTTCCTTTCAAAAATCCAAATCAATTAGTGAAAAATGAAAGAAATAAAGTGTAAAATGACAAATAAATATATATATATGTTGTGTCCGATTTAGATTTCCGTCCGATTTAGATTCAATCTAAATCGGACGTCCGATTTAGATTGAACTTATCGCGGACGTCCGATTTAGATTACAGTCTATATCGGACGTCCGATTTAGACTCAATCTAAATCGGACGTCTTATATAGATTGAACAATAATATAAACATGTTTAGTATATGTTCTTAAGCGTTTTCTGTAGTTTTCTGCATTTTTCAAAGGTCTGTTACTGTCTTTTTCTGAAAAGAAAACCCAACTATGAAATAATCAATAAAAGACCTTTGAAAATGCAGAAAACTACAGAAAACGCTTAAGAACATATACTAAACATGTTTATATTATTGTTCAATCTATATAAGACGTCCGATTTAGATTGAGTCGTCCGATATAGACTGTAATCTAAATCGGACGTCCGCGATAAGTTCAATCTAAATCGGACGTCCGATTTAGATTCAATCTAAATCGGACGGAAATCTAAATCGGACACAACATATATATGTTGTGTCCGATTTAGATTTCCGTCCGATTTAGATTGAACTTATCGCGGACGTCCGATTTAGATTACAGTCTATATCAGACGTCCGATACAGATCGAACAATAATAAACGTGCTTAATATATGTTCTTAAGCGTTTTTTTGCAATTTTCTGCGCTTTTCAAAGAAATTTTCAAAGAACATATGTTAAGCACGTTTATTATTGTTCGATCTGTATCGGACGTCCGATATAGACTGTAATCAATAAAAGACCTTTGAAAAATGCAGAAAACTACAGAAAACGCTTAAGAACATATATTAAGCATGTTTATATTATTGTTCAATCCATATAAGATTTAGATTGAATCTAAATCGGACGTCCGATATAGACTGTAATCTAAATCGGACGTCCGCGATAAGTTCAATCTTAATCGGGCGTCCGATTTAGATTGAATCTAAATCGGACGGAAATCTAAATCGGACACAACATATATACAGGGTGCGGCAGAATTATAGCGACAAGGCTTTTTGTTTTTCAGTTGTCAAACGACGCATGCAATCTAAAAGTGTCAAGTGTTATATAAAATTTGGAAGCCTAAATTCTTGGCTACATTTATATACCAAAACATTTACAATGGAAAACTCACAACTCTTTTTTCAGGGCATTGAACTAGCGCAAATCAACCACCCCTTGACGACCTACCTCTTTAGCAATTGCGCAATCAAAAAAAATTGTATGAGAACCTTGAAAGTTCACTCTATTTTGCTATTTTTAGTTAGCTAGCATGCATTCTAACATTTTATGACACAAAAAATAACAGCCACATCATTTAACTAAAAGTTACGGGTAGTTCTCTATCAATGGTCTATCAAAAGTTGATGTTTTCGGCAATCAAATCAACGAAGTTCTATGCCATGTTTAAGCAATTTTAAGACCGTTTAAAACTATTAATTAAGCATTTTAATAGTCATTAACATGATTCAGCAACAAAACCGCTTTTTCTTAGTTATTATCAAAAGTTATAAAATCGTCAAAATGGGGTAGCTCGTCGAGGGGTGGTTGATTTGCGCTAGTCCAATGGCCTGAAAAATGAGTTGTGAGTTTTCAATTTGAAATGTTTTGGTACATAAATATAGCCAAGAATTTAGGCTTCCAAATTTTATATAACATTTGACACTTTTAGATTGCATGCGTCGTTTGACAACTGAAAAGCAAAAAGCCTTGTCGCTATAATTCTGCCGCACCCTGTATATATAATAGGTTGATGCATAAGTGTTTTTGTTCCTTTTCGTCTGCCGTTTCAAGCCAACAAATGCACCAATTAAACTACGGTTGATTTCATTAGAAAAAGCAATTATTTTTCTGCAAAATAACATTAAAACGGGTTTAAAAATATTGAATGCCTGGATTTTCTTGAGAGTATGAAGTCGGGTAGTCAAAAAGGGCTAACTCGATGACACCTTAGCCTTAGGTTTAGACACCTTAGCTAAAGAAAGCCTATCTTCGTGTCAATAGATAAAAGATAGAGAAAACAAAACGTTTGATATTTCGCCAAAATTTCAGAGAAATTCATTCAGCCAATTTTTCCGTAGAGTTTTTTATAGATTTTTACGAAAAAGGCGTTTTTCACTCTCGAATTTGCTTGAAAGTGAACCGAAATTCATTTAAAAAGATGCAAATTGAACAAAAAAACACTTTTTTTTATAGAGCAAACTATAGATTAATTGGTGAATTTGTTACTTTTTAACAGAAGTACGAAAAAAACGAAAAGACTTATGCATGCATCAACCTAATATATATATAGATACTTTATTCAGGACCTGAGATAAAGTGCGCTAGATCTAAGATTAAAACACATGAATTCATACACATAACACGAAAAGGGCCGATAAAAAGAAACCCCGATATAATATATGTAAAATGTGGGTAGCACAGATAACGTCAAGGATCCACTAGAGCTTCAAGATCATCAAGAATATATGGGCAGCACAGATAGCGTCAAGGATCCACTAGAGCTTCAAGATCATCAAGAATATATGGGCAGCACAGATAGCGTCAAGGATCCACTAGAGCTTCAAGATCATCAAGAATATATGGGCAGCACAGATAGCGTCAAGGATCCACTAGAGCTTCAAGATCAAGATCATCTACAGATAATTTTAAAGTTTCGAGACTATTGGACTCTCTCAAAACTCTGGGGAGTCGATTCCAAATTCCAAATCCAAATTCTGGCAGTTCTTATTGGAAAAGAGTTATAAACAAACTTATTGGAGGTGACTGGAATTTCTAAAACGAAAGAACCTCTCCTTGAACTAATTGGTTCCTTGATTGGTCTTTTTTTTCGTGTTTTATTTTAAATTTCAAACTTTTAACGATACTGTATCACTTTTACAGTTAGAATAAATCTAAATCTAAATCTAAATCTAAATCTTTTATCAATAAATCACCATTTCCCCTTGAGCTTCCTTGGAATCTTTACGGTTAACGGCGAGCGGTAGCGTTTATCGGCGAGGATCATTATTTTTTAAAGCCCATTTTTATGCAGCTCTAGCAGCCCATTTTAAGCACCCTTTAACTTGTCAGATTAGGAAATTTGTATAAGATTTAGATTGCTTCTACGTCTAGATAGAACGTCAGCTTTCAGAAAAGATTTATATCATCATTGGAGGTGACTGGGATTTCTAAAACGAAAGAACCTCTCCTTGAACTAACCGTGGGATTAACTTTGAATAAATCTCGAAAAAGAGGGAAAAAATATGAAAAGAAAAAGGTTATAAACTCAAGTTTTTAGAATAGAAAGTACTTTACTACTGTACTACTGTACAGTAGTAAAGCACTTTACTACTTTACTACTTTACTACTTTACTACTGTACTGAATACTTTCAATTCTATCAAATTCTGAAAAAAACTTTCTTTAGCTTTAAAGTGAAATTTTTATCTTTTAGAGTCGATTGCTTTACTCTTTCTACAAGAAAAAATATCTGAAAAAAAAGAGTACAAAAGGATTTGATTATAGGATTGATTATAGGATCGAAATGTGAACTTGAATCATATCGAGTCTCGTCCATCGAAATCACACAAAGGATCCTATGATATTCTCGTCGAATGCCCACCAGATGCCGATCAAAAAGCATTGGAAAGTATCATTCAGGTATTAAAGTCAAATATTATCATATATTTGAATCAAATCAAAACAAAAGAGCATTTAAACATAACGATTCTTTCAGATGTTCAAGAAGAAAGCTGAAAGCATGTTTGTTCACGATCACAATTCAAGCAGAAAACAAAATAAAGGTAAAGAAAACGAGTTGTTTTAAGTCTTTTTGCTCGTTCTTTATTCTTTAAATATAAGTGTAATGTCTCTCTAAATTTGGTTCCTTATCTCGGGACTTGGTTTCTTCTCTCTACAAATTTGGTTCCTTATCTCTGGAGTTGGTTCCTTCTCTCTGGACTTGGTTGCTTCTCTCTGGACTTGGTTGCTTCTCTCTGGACTTGGTTCCTTCTCTCTGGACTTGGTTCCTTCTCTCTGGACTTGGTTCCTTCTCTCTGGACTTGGTTCCTTCTCTCTGGACTTGGTTGCTTCTCTCTGGACTTGGTTGCTTCTCTCTGGACTTGGTTCCTTCTCTCTGGACTTGGTTCCTTCTCTCTGGACTTGGTTCCTTATCTCTCTAAATTTGGTTCCTTCTCTCTGGACTTGGTTGCTTCTCTCTGGACTTGGTTCCTTCTCTCTGGACTTGGTTCCTTCTCTCTGGACTTGGTTGCTTCTCTCTGGACTTGGTTCCTTCTCTCTGGACTTGGTTCCTTCTCTCTGGACTTGGTTGCTTCTCTCTGGACTTGGTTCCTTCTCTCTGGACTTGGTTCCTTCTCTCTGGACTTGGTTCCTTCTCTCTGGACTTGGTTCCTTCTCTCTGGACTTGGTTGCTTCTCTCTGGACTTGGTTGCTTCTCTCTGGACTTGGTTCCTTCTCTCTGGACTTGGTTGCTTCTCTCTGGACTTGGTTGCTTCTCTCTGGACTTGGTTCCTTCTCTCTGGACTTGGTTCCTTCTCTCTGGACTTGGTTCCTTATCTCTCTAAATTTGGTTCCTTCTCTCTGGACTTGGTTGCTTCTCTCTGGACTTGGTTCCTTCTCTCTGGACTTGGTTCCTTCTCTCTGGACTTGGTTCCTTATCTCTCTAAATTTGGTTCCTTATCTCTCTTATCTCCTTATCTCATTTAAATGTAAATGTAAATAATAAATGAAAGTAATAAATGTAAGTGAATATTTTTAGAATCAGTTCCATGGTATCCAAAGAAAATCCAAGATCTTGATCAATTCGCTAATCGAATTCTCAGCTATGGAGCTGAATTGGATTGTGATCATCCAGTAGGCAAAAATTTTCGAAATTAATAAAGTTTAACTGATAAAATTGTAACTAATAAACAAATAGATATCATTTGATTTCTAAATTTTACCTTACTAAACTCATCTTTTTTATTTTTCTTTCATTCAGGGTTTCCGTGACGAGGTTTATCGTAATCGTCGCAAGCAATTCGCCGACATTGCCTTCAATTATAGAAAGTAAATGAGTTGAAAAAACGATATTTTCTTTTTATCAGGGCACAAAGCACAAAAGCAAAAGGTACTCAAATTTTAGTGGCGAAAAGATCCCGAATGTCGAGTATACTGAAGAGGAGATCAACACCTGGAGCACCGTTTGTTTTTGTTCTTTGAGATCTTTCTTTCTAAAATCTCCTTCTAGATCTACAAAGAGTTGACAAAACTTTATCCAAAACATGCTTGTGCCGAATTCAATTACATTTTCCCGCTTCTTGAGCAGAATTGTGGATACGCGGCGGATAAAATCCCACAATTGCAAGAAGTTTCCGATTTCTTGAGAAGTTTGTTTAGAAAACAATCTACAGTACTGGACAATGAAATATGATATTTGAAAAACGATCGTCACTTTCGCGCGTCTGTAACCCCCTTTGTCTTTGAGTTTAAACTATTAGTGTTAAACATTTTCTGAAAGCTCTTTTCAATGGCTACACAATGGTAGTATTAATATTTAGAAATACGGTAAAGACAAGGGAGTTACAGGCGCGCGAAAGTGACGATCGTTTTTCAAATATCATATTTCATTGTCCAGTAGTGTATATCTATTGGGTTGTCCAGTTATGAATGCGCGTTTTTTACTATTTTGTAAATTTCTCAAGATACCGAAATCAAGAAAAAGATATCTATGAGTATTATTCGAAAGCTGAAGATCTCCTCTACATTTTCATATAAAAAGCTTTTGAATTTGTCCAGCTTTTGGGGCAAATTGACTGCACAGAAGAAGAGGTGGCCAAAAAATGGAAGGGTGCCTTTGGATCAAGTTTTGGCTGCGCTCAAATTGAGTTAACCGTTTGATGTTTGGCCAATAGATATATCAATACAACTTTTTTTTAAATATAACAATTTCAGAGCATCTTTACTTTTTTTTTCTGGGCGCTTACACCATAAAACTTGAGGAATAGCTAAGCTGAAATGTTTTTTTTTCGGAAACGACCTCTCCCTTTGTGCAGTCAATTTCCCAAAAAGTTGAATGAATGCAAAAACTTTTTTATTCCAAAATGTAGAGGAGATTTTCAGCTTTCGAATGATATATAACACCTATATACATCTGTTCGATATCATGAGAAATTTACAAAATAGTACAAACGCGCATTCATAACTGGACAACCCAATATAAACAATCTATGAAAGAATTGTCTGTTTGTCTGTTCGGCTGTCCGGCTAAAACTTCTTTAGAAAACCTTAGAATAGATTGTAGTTATGCCATTAAAATCAAAAATTAAAAAACCAGGAGTGCCTGGCAGCACGGGGAGTCGAACCCGGATCGTGTGGGTTCTAGACCAACGGCCTCCTTACTGCGCCAAGGGGCAGACGTTCCCCCTTCCAAAACAACTAGCTAGAAAAGCTGCTGTTAGGCGGATCTCTCGGCTGAACTTCTTAGATAAATCTATGTATTACTTAGCCCAATTTTCATCCATTTTCCAGCCTGCACCGGTTTCCAACTCCGTCCCGTTGCCGGTCTTCTTTCCTCACGCGATTTCTTGGCTGGCTTGGCTTTCCGTGTTTTCCATTCAACTCAATACATTCGTCACCATTCTGTCCCTAATTACACACCAGAACCGTTTGTTTTATGATAAGTTACTCTATTTTTTTTTATTTTCACCAATTCTAAACATAAGCAGGCAATTCTAAACATATTCTAAACAAAAATTTTAAAGTAAAAATCCTCAGTGATATCTGCCACGAGCTTCTCGGTCACGTGCCCCTATTTGCCGATATGGAATTCGCGCAATTTTCTCAAGAAATTGGCTTGGCTTCATTGGGCGCCTCGGATGAGACAATTGAGAAATTGGCTACAGTAAACAATAAGAACAAAATCTACAATCGAAAAATAAATCTAGCTTTATTGGTTCACCGTCGAGTTTGGCTTGTGTCTTCAAAATGGAGAGAAAAAAGCATACGGAGCTGGATTGTTGAGCTCTTTTGGAGAGTTGCAATACAGTGTTTCGGATAAGGTTTGTTGGGGAAAGAAATAAAGCTTTTGTAGCTGGAAATTATTGTTAGCTGATAGACAAGAACTGATAGTTAACTTTAGATCAATTCTCTAGAAGTTTTAAACAATTAAACCCTCGACTGAATAAAATGAATGCCTCCAATCGATTCGCCCCTTTTTTTTTCGAATCCATGAAGGGAAAGGAGCGCTTTTTTTTCCCTTGTTTCTACAAGTTTTGAATCATTTTAAACAATTGCAACTAAAATAGCAACTGAATCAGATTTCAAAGCACCAGATTCATAAGCGTTTTCAGCCCGAAGTCGTCCCATTCGAACCATCGATTACCTCGGTGACGAAATACCCGATCACCGAATATCAACCACGATACTATCTCGCCGATTCGTTCACTTCAGCCAAGAATAAGCTCAAGTAAGATAAAGAGTAAGAAGAAGATTAAGAAGAAGAGTAAGAAGAAGAGAAAGATAAAGAGTAAGAAGAAGAGTAAGAAGAAGAGTAAGATAAAGAGTAAGATAAAGAGTAAGATAAAGAGTAAGATAAAGAGTAAGACAAAGAGTAAGATAAAGAGTAAGAAGAAGAGTAAGATAAAGAGTAAGACAACGATTAAGAAAACGATTCTTTCAAATCCCACCAATTCATCCAAATCCAAAACCCTTTCCAGAACTTGGGCCTCATCAATCGATCGTCCATTCCAAGTGCGCTACAATCCGTACACACAAACCATCGAGACATTGGACCATCCGACTGCTATTCAAAAACTCGCAAAAGAGATTAAGAGTAAGTGATTCATAAAGAAATATGATGACATTCATAAATATAATGATATTCATAAATATAATGATATTGATAAATATAATGATATTCTAGATTTAAAACAAATTTTCTATTTTCAATTTTCAATTTTTCATTTAGCCGATATGGCCACTCTCGAGGATGCAATCGGAAAAATTGGACTCTTCTAAAATGCGAAAAAAAAACCTCCTTGAGACTGTTTTCTCGATTTTTCATGTAATCAATTCTTTTCTTAGTGTTTCATTTTATATTTTCTGTCAGCTGGCTGCAATAAATAGTTTATATAAAAGGGAAAAATCCTCATCCAATTGGCATATTTCGATCGAAAAGCAGAGAAAAATCGGCAATCTAAAGAAAACGTTTTTTTTAGAATATTGAAAAGTAACTTCTTTACCTGTAACTTTTCCCCTAAAAATTTCCATCGTTTAACTCTACGTGCAATCCATTTTTTACGCTTTTCCCTTAGTGGATCCGGATCAAAACGAACGTGAATTGAAGAGATTTTGTGATTGTAAATTGACGAGATCAACTGAAAATGATTTTTCTGTATAAACCTATTTGGTTGGTGTTTTTTCTGTATAAACCTACTTTACCTACACCATCTTCGCGGTATTCTTTTTCTTTCAAGTAGACTTTGTGCTTAAACTTGTAAATATTGGGTTGGTGAATTGAAAACTGCCGGCTATTGTCATCTGTGACACTTTGAGGACTTTCTTCAAAAGAAACCCATTTTGGTGTCAATGGAAAAGTTGTAGAGAATCAAAAATAAAGCTCATATCCAAATTTTCAGAACGATTCAAAAATTGCTTTTCAAGAAATGCGAAATTTACGAATTTTCACCAAAACTTGCATTTTAAGCGAAACTACTAAGTGTATCTTTTTGGAAATTTCGCTATAAGTCTAATTTTTGATTCTCTACAACTTTTCTATTGACACCAAAATGGGTTTCTTTTGAAGAAAGTGCTCAAACTGAGACATCGGACATCTCCAGTCCTCGATTTTTGAGTCTCACACTTGTCTCAGACACAAATCAAAATCCTACTACGAAAGAGGAATCCGCTAATTGCCTGTTAAATGGGCAGAAGTCGTCAATAATAATGGAAATTATTTAGAATGAATTCATGGTTTTATGTTGAATAAATTTTAGTTCAAAGTCCGGCAGTTTTCAATTGACCAACCCAATATTAAAGGATGACATCCATAATCATTAAATTATTGCTTATTTTTTAAATTATGTTTATTGTTTTCCGCATTCCCCATACAGTCCGGACCTCGCCCCTTTTGATTACTATTTATTCCGGAGCATGAGTAATGAGCTTGCGGGAGAACACTTCGATTCGGAAGAAGCAGTCAAGAATTGGCTTTGAAAGTTTTTCGATTCAAAACCAAAACCCTACCACAAAAGAGGAATCCGCAAATTGCCTGTTAAATGGGCACAAGTAATGGGAATTAATAATAATGGGAATTATTTGGGATCAATTGATGGTTTTATGTTGAATAAATTTTAGTTCAAAGTCCGGCAGTTTTCAATTGACCAACCCAATGATAGTGCACCCAAGCGAGCCGAGTTGGTGACTATTTTACGGTTTCCAAGCTTTTGCAGAAGCTCAACACTCAAATCCCCATACAGTCCGGACCTTGCCCCTTTTGATTACTATTTATTCCGGAGCATGAGTAATGAGCTTGCGAGAGAACACTTCGATTCGGAAGAAGCAGTCAAGAATTGGCTTTGAAAGTTTTTCGATTCAAAACTTAAATCCTACCACGAAAGAGGAATCCGCAAATTGCCTGTAACATGGGCAGAAGTCGTCAATAATAATGGGAATTATTTGGAAGGAATTGATGGCTTTATGTCGAATAAATTTTAGTTCAAAGTCCGGCAGTTTTCAATTGGCCAACCCAATGATAGTGCACCCAAGCGAGCCGAGTTGGTGACTATTTTACGGTTTCCAAGCTTTTGCAGAAGCTCAACACTCAATAATAAATTTGAATAAATTTGAATTTGAATAAATTTGAATAAACTTGAATAAATTTTAGTTCAAAGTCGGCAGCTTTCAATTCACCAACCCAATAGATGAAATTTGTAAAAATCTAGTTGAAAATAAAAGAGTTTTCCTGTAAAATGATTCAATTGAATGCTTTTTTTCAGGATAAAAATCACATCAAAAAAACAAACCGTTAACATTTGTAAAGCTTGTTTCGGAGTTGGACAATGATAGAAAATGTTGTTTCCATTCTCGAGACGCCCACAAATCTCTGCACACGTCCAATAACCCGTTGATGTCAGCTGAAAGCTTTTTTTATTATGCAATTCAAACATTCAAACATTTACTTTACTAGTAAAGAAAGAAATAAACAGTAAATCAAATAAAATTTTCGACAAACTCAAAGCCATCGAAGGTCAAATCTTCTTCGATTCCAACCTCTTTATCACTCCATTTTGTCGCATCAAATTGTAATAAAGTATTCTGAAGAATTTTATAGAAATGCAGAGAATTTTCGGCTTTTATAGCACAAACGCCTTCCCAAATCGAAAGAAAATTTGATGAAGTTTCAAACCATTTCGGAAATTCTTCAAAATAATCATCACCATTCATCTAAAAGTTATTTGTCAGTGAAAAACTTTTAAGAAAAAAACTTTTAAGAAAAAAGCTTTCAAGCAAAAAGCTTTGTTTAAGGGAAAAAAACGTTGCTTAAAGAGGCCTTTTTTCATCTCAAAACATATAATAATACTTTATTCAAACGATAAAGTGAAAGAAATGATAGAGAAATGCACAGTGATACTTAATCATACAATACATACTGAAATCAATAAGCCAATTACTTACGGCAAAGAGCCACTAGATCTAAAGCATCGATACGTTTCTTGAATATGAAAAGCGACTGAATTTCTCGTATGTCGTTTGGGAGCAAGTTCCATAATCTAGCGGCTCTAACGGGAAATGAATTTGATAAAGAGGCATTGGAAGCAAAGGGAATTTGCAAAAGGAATGAGCCACTTCTGGGCCCTGACCGCGGTTTAAATTTGAAAAAGTCTATAAACAAAGGGCTAATCTGTTTACAACGGAGGATTTTGAAAGTTTCGACTAAATCAATGACAAAGCGACGATGCTGTAAAGTTTTTAGTTCAAAAAAAGCAAGTCTCTCCTCATAAGTAAAGCTAGAATATTTAGAATAGTATATATATATACCGTAATAATTCTAATAGAAGACCATGGTCTTCTAATTTTCAACCCCTTCCCCAAAGGGTCTTCTATTAGAGACTGGTCTTCTAATAGAGACTGGTCTTCTATTTTTCAACCTCCCTTCAAAAGGGTCTTCTATTGGAGACTGGTCTTCTAATAGAGACTGGTCTTCTATTAGAATTATTACGGTATGCTTTATTCATGGGGCGAATAGAAGCGAATCAGATAATCATAACTGCATATAACATATTGCTACAATACTCTCACCGAAAAAAGAGAGAAAACTAAAGATAGTGCAGTAAGAGTACAGTTAGGAAAAACAGACACAAAAAGATTAAATATAGGCCAGATTTGACATGGCAATAAGATCTAATACGTTCACAGATACTTTGAATTTTCCTACAGACGAGAAGATACCAGGCGGGAGCTTATTCCAAACCCTACTAATACGGTTCATTCATCTAAAAGTTATTTGTCAGTGAAAAACTTTTAAGAAAAAAGCTTTGAGAAAAAAATAGAGAAAAAAAGTTGCTTAAAGAGGCCTTTTTTCATCTCAAAACATATCAAATTACAAAAGAGAAGCCGGAAATTTTTTTGGGAAAAGATATTTGCTAGAAATTTATTGTTTAAAGTTGTAGATAAATGATTGATTGGATAAAAGAAAAGGAGTATTTTTGATGAAGAGATAAAGAATAAATAAGTTAAGAGATAAAGAATAAATAAGTTAAGAGATAAAGAATAAATAAGATAAGAGATAAAGAATAAATAAGATAACAGCCTTCAAGCTCCGAGACGGTCAGTCACGGATAGACAATACACTCTCTACAAGATTCAGAGTGTCCGTGCCATTCCGTGACTAAAGTATGTTCCTATTGGCTAATGCATTTTCTCAAAAAGCACCTATTATCGTAATCAAATCGATCGTTTACAGCTCGATTTTTGTATCATTTATTACAGCTATTACATTTATTACAGCTATTACATTTATTACAACTCGATTTTTGTTTCATTTATTGCGCTTTTTGATTCCTCATCAAATAATACCAAAATCTAGCTGATTACAGTAGTTTTATGTCTTTTACGAAGACGATTGAAATAAACAAACAATCAAAGCAAAATCTGAAAGAAAATCTTTTCAGCACTCAACAAAATCCCAACAAATTCTCGGTGATATCAAAAAAAGCAACAGCCGGTGTTTCCAATAATTTAATGGGATTGATCAAAAAAAAGAGAGATTCGACTAAAGACTGAACTAAAAAAAAGAAAAAGAGAAAAAGAGAAAAAGAGAAAAAGAAATGAATGAAAAGAAAGAAACATTCATCTTTCATTCTCTTCTTCTTCTTCCTTTCATTCTCTTCTTCTTTCTTCTTCTTCTTCTTCCCAAAAAAAAACCATGTGGATTCAATTAATTTTCGACTTTTCTTACGGAAAAATCTTTGTACTTAGAAAAAAGATTTTCTTTCAGATTTCAAAACAATCAATACTTTCTTTCCAAAAAGATTTGAGTACTTTATTTACTCGACAAATAGCACTCTGAAGAATATTGTGAAGCTTTTCCGTGAGTTTAGAAAGATGATGGAAACATTTATTGCTAAATTCGCTGACAGAATTTCCTGGGAAGCTGTTTGAGTCATGAAATCTTTTCATTCTTTTCATTCAGTCTATATCGGACGTCCGATACAGATCGAACAATAATAAACGTGCTTAATATATGTTCTTAAGCGTTTTTTTGTAATTTTTCTTATTGTTTTTGATGAAAAGTTTTTAGAAGATTTATTCAAAAAAATCAAAAACAAGAAAAATATTTGCATTTCTTTGAATGAAATCTTTGAATGATTCGGAAGAAATGGGTGAAAAGTGCTTTTGTGTTTCCGCCAAAATCATCTCCATTCAAGAGACCACTCGCTTTCAATAACGACTTTGATCGATCGACGCGCTTCGATCAGATTGGATTCCAGAAATTCTTGCGCTCAATCCAAAGCGCTCCAAAACGGGAAGAGTTTGGTTTGCGACAGCTTTCAGAAGTCCCTCGAGCAGCTCGCCGGAATATTTCACACGGTAGAAACCCGTCGTACTTGCCACATTCATTCAATCAATAAGAGACATTTCTTTAAAGAGTTCGTTTAATGATCTCTTGTTTCACAAATCGTATGATCTGAGCCCGTAGCTAGGAAAACTTCTTGGTAAGGGCAGCTTTTATCCACTGCGTAATTGTTCTGTGGTAATGGTAGCTTTGACAGTGATCTGTAACTCCACAGCCATGTTCAAATCGACTTTCGTCGCGTCCGATACCTCGACCATGATGTCCCGTTTGTTCACACAAAGACTGACTCTCGGTGATAGGTTAAAATCTAGACAGATATTAGTATTTTATCTTAAATATATCTTAAATATAAGCGCATTTTATTTCTCGATTCATTTTAAAGGGTCTTATCGATTGAGTTTATTTAATGATCTCTTGTTTCACAAAAAAACCAAAAACTTTAATGAAAGAAGAAAGAGTCAAAACTTTATTTGCCACTAGGTAAATGTTTCTTCGTTCTATTAATCAGTTTGTCCGTGTACCCATGGAAGATTGATGCCTCTTGTCTCCATATTACAAACATCAACACCTCTTCGCATCTGAATTCAAATTTTTTGCTAGTAAAGAAGCAGAGAACAACAGAGAAATTGATTAGATCACATTGACAAGGTTAAAATATTCCGTCTATAGAGTTTTCAAATAGAAGAAGCTAGCTTCCTATACAGCTAGCTAGCTTCCTTTACAGCTAGCTAGCTTCCTATACAGCTAGCTAGCTTCCTATACAGCTAGCTAGCTTCCTATACAGCTAGCTAGCTCCCTATACAGCTAGCTAGCTTCCTATACAGCTAGCTAGCTTTCTACAGCCGTAACAAAGCTCTTAAAAACCCTTTAATTTACTTAGGGATCATACAGTTAATTCGATTTTGTCAGAAACTCAGAGTCAGACTGCTCAGAGAGGATTAGCACTATCCACAGTATTCAAAGCTTCTCTAAACAATCTCTAGTCAAAGAAAAACCCCTATGATTCTAACCATATCTTTGAAAACAAATCTTACTCTGATATATCCAGCCTCTCCAAAATCGTCACCCCACTGATTGCGCACAATCCAATAGGGAATTCCCTTGTCTGAGCCTGAGAATTTCTGTGATAATAAACGAATTTCTTTCTCTATTTCACTCACCAAATCCAACGATCGTCATCGCATGACCGCCTATATTATTGTACTTGTAACAATTGCCGATTGGTGGATTGTAGATGCCCGATTTATATGAGAGAAAAGATGGTTCAACGTAGAAACCTAAAGGAAAAACAATTCATTAAAAACGATCATTTTTAAAGAATTTCTAGCAAAATCTTTGTTTTTGGAGGAATATATTAACTGGATATGATATTTTAACATTTTAAAAACTCTACTATAGCTTGAGCTTGAGCTGAGAGATACGATTACTGAAGTAGGGAAAGTACTTTAGGCAGGGAAAGTACTTTACCTTTACTTGGTAGGGAAAGTACTTTACCCTAATAAATAGCGAAAAACAAGAAGAAGTTAGCTTTTCTTTTCGTGCTGATAAGAGAAAAATCTCACCAAAACTGACGGGCCCTTTGTGAAAGACGTAGTACTCAGCATCAGCCACCGATCGCAAAGTGTACCAAGCGGCCACAATGTTTAGCCTTTCCTAGAAATATGCAAAGAATTTGATTACTTTTTGATTTTAGTTATTTCCAGGGATTCTTATGGGGATTGAAAGAGTCTTACTCTCATTTATACCCCCTCCTTCCCTTAGTTCATGCCCCAACTTGACATATTTGTGTATTATTCGAGTAGTTAAGAGTTTCACCTATCAGAAAAAGTATATAAAAACCATAAAAACATAATCTAATATGGTTTTAAGAAAAAAAGCAATAATTTCAAAGAAATAATGGAATGTTTTTCTCTTGATTATATCTTCGATAAATACTTCAAAGTTTAATATTGTAAGCATCCGATAAAGAACGCAGATCCTATGGTTTTGCAAGAGCAAGAGCAGTAAAGTAAGCGAAAAGATCGGGATCCGAATTAGCAAGACTCGGACCACGAGCTTAGACTCCTAACTACTAGGCCACAAGGCCTGTGCGAGGCTCCCAGTGTCCTTTCAAAAACTTACCGTATCATTCTTACAAGTTCCCTCGAAGCAAGAGCAGTAAAGTAAGCGAAAAGATCGGGATCCGAAGTAGCAAGACTCGGACCACGAGCTTAGACTCCTAACTACTTGGCAACAAGGCTCATGGCAAGCTCCCCTTAGAAAGTCCTTTTAAACATTTACCGTATCATTCTTACAAGTTCCCTCGACGCCCGTGTATGGATAGGCAGCACGTGGCACCGATCCGTTTTGATAAGCATAACTAAAGGTTGTCAATTTTCTTACTTAATAAAGTAAAGGAGAGGAATGGCAAAGAAAGATTTTCGGAGATTGAACCCTCGACCTTTTTTCCTTTCCCTCTTGCTAGAGAAGAAAGAGGAAATACAAGGGGGAAGAGAAAGGAAGAAAGAGAAGGAGAAGCCACCAAGACAATCGCTTACTTCATCACTATCCAGTCAAAACCGCCATCACAACCTTTTGAGTAAGTTGATGGATTACAATCGATATCGAACTAAAGACTCAAGTGTTTAGAGGAAATGGTTCAGTTTTACTACCTGTTCGGAGAATTCGGAGAAAGGATTTCCGAGCGAGTTCCATTGAACTTCGATCGCATTGATTGCACTAAACATTATTATGATTACATACCATTCACAGTTAAAAGAAGCAAAACGAAAGGCAGACACCGGACTCGAACCCGAAGGCTTTCGAGTCAGGGCCTGAGCGGTATCCAAGCCTACTACCACTCGGCCATCACGACATCTTTCCCCCGCCCCTGTAAGGCCAACTCACAAGCTGCTTACTGCGATTCCATACAAAACTTTGATCGCTTATAACTTTTGACAGAGTGTTGCGACAGAAAAACGGAAAGCAGATTCGAAATCAGCGCAAAATTCTACGTTAGTATGCATTTAACATTTCCTTATCAGATGCGAATCAAAATTTCTTACGCAAAAGCATAACACGATCCACATGCTCCTTGATCTCTGATCGCCGGCATGAATGGACCACGCCAATCAACGAATTCACCCACATACTAAATATGAGACTTTAGATTTGATTTTATTTAGCTTTCAAGCCTGAACTTCAGCGCCTCTTTTAGCTCGTCGAAGAATGGGATGATTCGGCTGATTGGCATCATCGAGATTCTTTGCATCCATTAAATACTTAAAAAATAAACTTTTCCATATAAAGATTGTTTATAAAAGATTGTTTATAAAAGAATGTTTATAAAAGATTGTTTATAAAAGAATGTTTATAAAAGATTGTTTATAAAAGATTGTTTATAAAAGATTGTTTATAAAAGAATGTTTATAAAAGAATGTTTATAAAAGATTGTTTACAAAAGAATGTTTACAAAAGAATGTTTATAAAAGAATGATTCATCAAATTGAATGATTTAATCAATTAATAGAATGATTTCATTAATGTAGAAAAAAAAAATGATGACTATATCTTTAAGTTTTTGTGGTACTTTTGTAGTCCTGATTCCTTTAGTTTTAGCCTCGACAAGTTTCTTTAGGCAAGTTTTTAGGCCAGTTTTTTGACGATTCGAGCTAGTCTAATAGCTAGCCTATTAGAATAATATAAAAACATTGTAGAAGAACTGGATAAAAATGACTTTTGGTATCCGGAAAATGCTGACCTTCGATCGCTCATTGTCATCCAAATCAGTGAAGAAATTCTCGCCCACTTCATAGCCTCTCTTTTCGTTATTTATCTCAAATTTAATCGTTAAACTTGTATAAATCTATGCTTATTATTTGAATAAGCAATATTTGAATAAAAGTTCTTTTAAACTCAAACCTTTTCAATGAAATCCATATTCTCTTTCCAAGTCTTCGCTTTCTCCTTCAACAACTCCAATGAGTTGTACGTTTTTTTAAATCTAATTTAGAGAACTTTTAAATCTAATTTAGAGAAAACTCACTTTTTAGCGAATTTATTGAAATCATCAATTTTTATATCATCAATGATTCCTTTTAGTGCCGCCTTTACGCTTATTGAGCTTAGATCTAATTGAAGAGACAAGACTGTGACGAGGAGTAACGAGAAAATGAATAGACGAGGCATTCACCTAAAAGTTTACTTAATTACAACTAGACCTTACTAATCAGTAGCTACTGTAGCTAGCTAAGTAGCTAAGTAGCTACCGATAACAACTTTCCAACTAATTTAATATCTTAGTAAAATTACAGTAAAAAGAAAGTGTAGTTAACGTGGATTTGAGAAAGGGAAAGCGCTAAGTCGTGAAGATAGTAAAGGAGAGAATTTTGGGATCTTCAATTTGAAAACTTTTTATCAGCGACTACTGGTTAGTAAGGTCTAGTTTTTAAAGCTTTATAAGTCAACCGCACAAGTGCATAGAAGAAATGAAATGGCTCAACAATGCCAAAGCATTTATATCGAGCACTGGCAATAGAACTCGATTTGGCTCAAATAGAGATCAGCGATCATTCCAAAAAAAGCAATATTTCGTTCACAAAATGTTTTTTTTTGCCTTTGTGAAATTCGACCTTTGCCCCCGATTCATTTGCTCTTTAGGACTTTTGAATAAACGTCATTCAGTTGGTACAAAAAGATTACCTTTCGAACTTATCTCTAGATCTCTAGGTCTCTAGATCTCTAGATCTCTAGATCTCTAGATCTCTAGATCTCTAGATCTCTAGATCTTCAGCAATTTAGTTGAAGAGAAGCTAGCTAAAGCTCGAAACCATTAAGCATAATTTAATTTAAGCATAATTAAATCAAAAATCATAAAAACATATCTAAATCTTGCCAGATCAACATATTTTAAATAACAATATGAAAATATTGTAAGAGAATTCCAGAGGATAAGTGCGCTAGCCATTTGTATTTTTAAGCTGAACTGAATACTCGTTTCTCTGTTGTCTTTTGAAGAGATCTTTACATCAAATGGTAGAACTATAGGCGGTAAAAAGATCTTGTAAAAGAGCAAGCAACTCTTCCATCTTACACTTATTAATGTTCGACTTGAAAATGCAAATGTCTAAGTCGGACAAGCTTGCACTAACAGACAGACACCAAGCTTGGCTATGCGGACTCCTTTCCTCTCTAGATCTCTCTCTCAAACTTTCAAAGCTTTTTGAACGATTATCATTGAACGACTATCATCAAAGATCTCATTGAAGTCTTTTCCTTGATCATTGCACAATATCTCGTACACTTTTTGAACTTGAACCTGATGATTGATGATCAAAAGCGACTTTCGTGGTCGAGAGTTCGTAGCGACCAACGGGTCGTTCAATTCTTCTATTCTTCTTTTTTTGTCAATAAGCGGGGGTGATCTTTTGAAATCGAAATGAAATGTAAAATGGCTAAATTTAGATAGAAAAATGAGCCTTTCATTATTGATCATCAAAAATCAAATAAAATTTCTGTTTAAAGTTCAGATCAGGATCAAAGGTCGCTCAAATAAAGAGCTCATATAAAGAGCTCATATAAAGTGAATGAAGTGAACTGAAATCCAAATATCATTCTAAAATCAGACGATGTTACAAAGAACAGCCGCTTTTCTGCTTTTAGGTTTGCAAATTGATTCATGTTTCTCAATTTTAAACTTTGATTTTAGTGGTGGTTGTTGTAGAAGCGACGACACTACCTGCTTGCATTACATGCCCAGAAAATGGTAAGAATATTCAAAATGCGAAAACTTTAAAACTTGTTTAGGTCAATGGTCACCTTGGTCAGATGTGACAACGTGTTCAGCGACTTGTGGCCTATTTGGAAGGAAAATCCAGAAGCGAACGTGCAACTCGTGGATTCAAGGATGCCAATGCAAGTGAGTTTTCAAACAAAAGACTATTTCACAAAGTGTAATGAATTCAGAGGTGTCTACTCGCGTGCAGTTCCCTGTGCACCGGCTCTTTGTCCAAAGGCTCCATTCTGTGCGGCTGGATTTACAAAACTTGCAAACTCATGTCAAAATGTCGCTCGAGCCAACGACTATCAAGCGGATCAATGCTCAATCAATGGTCAGTTAACATGAAACTTGTGATCCACACACCGTAGGGCAATGGGCGAGTGGTTAACGCGCTCGGCTCTAGTCTGAGAGGTCGAGGATTCGAGTCCGGCTCTGGTCAATTATTTTGCCTTTTTATCAGTTCAAGTAGCACATAGACAGACAACATTTCATTATAATATAATCAATATTATATCTAATTTCTATTTAATGTTTAGCCATTAGCTTGTTTAGCTATTAGTTTCCTCTTTAGCTAAACTCAACGTGTGCCCATGTCCATCAGGCGGTGTGTGGTCGGCTTGGGCGAACAAGGGCTCGTGTTCGGCGACTTGTGGATTGTGTGGGACGGTGAATCAGACGAGAACGTGTCGATCAGCGCCTTATGGATGCCCTTGCGTGTAGGGGATTCTTCATAAAGAATAACCGAAACAAAAGATAACAGAAATTTTCCAGCGGCGCAACAACTCGAGCATTGAAATGTCCAGCGAAGCCATGTGGCACAGGAGCTGCTTGTTGCAATTCCCTATCTGTGGTAAAGATTTCTGGGTAAACTTTAAAGTTTCTTTAGTTCTTTTACTAAGCAAAGTTCGTCCATTCAATCGAATTCATAGTTTAATTCAGTATTTTTAAAAATTTAATCTCTTTTTTTAATAAGTTTTGATGAGTTTTATTGAAAAAATGGGTAAAATTTATAAAATAATATCTTCAACTGGACGGAATAAACTAATTGACTAAACTAACTACTCGTTGACAAGATAATATTATATAAACTTTTATCTAAAACCTTTTCCCGTCAAATCCATAGCCAATTGAGGATTATTTAGGTGAAAAACTTAGGAACAAATGCGACGCAATGTGGCCTTCAATTACCGGCTGATCCATTGCTAAGCCCGGCGCCGGCTTGCTGGATTTCAAGTAAGTTTATTTACTGGATGAATAATATACTAGAAGGGAAATATTATCCGGCTAGATGAACTCACTGAAAATGAAGAAAAAAAAACATTTACAGAATGTTCGCAGTGTACCATGAACAATCCACCACTTGAGATCAGCACACAAGAAGGATCATCACCCTTCACTGTTGGTTCGTTCTTCAACTAGTTTCAACTGTTGATAGCAATAGATAAAGATGAGCCATTGTTTCATTGTTTTGTTTGTTTAGATGCTTTACGAAATGATCCTGATGGTTGTGTGGTTCGGGTGCTTGTTTGTCCGAAAAATATCACAACATCCTCGTCTTTCATTCGAGTAAGTTGTACAAGGTGATCGGAAATAGTTCTTTGTTTGTTTCTTCTTTTTTCTAGGCAGATATTTTCGTTATTTGTAGGCTTTTAAATGAAACTGCATATTGTTTTCTATATCTATTCAAGATTTCATCACCATAGCATTTATAGATCATTTTCTATAAGCACTTAAAAAAATGGGTAGTCAAAAAAAAAGATTAGAAGTTGTAATTTATTTGGAGAAATATGTGATTACTTATTCTAATTCTACTTATTCTAAGATTAACTTAATATTTAACTCTTTTCTAGTTCAATGAGGGTTTGTAATGGAGGAAAGGTTGACTAAATTGTTGACTAAATTGTTGACTAAATTGTTGACTAAATTGATTTAGCTATCATAAAATGACTTCTGTGTTCATGATTTCCCTTTGCTTTTTGAACAAGAATTGATCTTTGATCATGATCAACAATTGATCAAGAACAATTCATGCATCAAGAACAATTCATCTTTAATGCATCAACAACCATTCATCTTTAATGCATCAACTTTAAGACTAAATAAACTGACGGTAAATGCTCAATAAATGATGCTTTAACTAATGCTTTAACTTTGAACAATTCACTATTTACGTTCTCTAATAATTTGTGAAAAAGAAATTGTGCTGCTTCTTTTCCACAGTCAAGTGATTCATATATTATATTAATACCGTATTTTCTGTAATAGTAGTGCAGTCTGTAATAGTAGTGCAGTCTGTAATAGTAGTGCAGGCTGGAGGGGGGTTGAAAAAATAGTAGTGCGCACTACTATTACAGAAAATACGGTATATTATATTAATATACTATATCCATATACTATATTAATATATTATATTCATAGATTTGTCCTCGAACTTAATTTTAAACTCTTTTCTAGTTCAATGAGGGTGCAGTGAACGAAAGAGAGGTCGGTGGAGGGGGTTCCGAGACGAGAACTTTATTGAGATGTAATGCCACGGGAAATGGATGGAATGCTGTCACTGCATCTGGAAAACTCAATACCACAATTTCCAAAGTCACATGCTTTCTGGATTACAAATATTGGTGATTTAACCATTTTTTTGCTTAAATCATCAAGTCAAAAAACGTTATTAGTTCGAATAAATGATTCACAAAAATGTTTGGAAAAATTTCTATTGATTTCTTTGGTATTTTTTCCGTTCTTGGATATATTTAACTTAGCTAACCATTATTTTTCTAAAAATTTAACAAAATCAAACTATTCTTTATAAGAGAAGAAAAGAAAATGAATAGATTTTCGTTGGGAAAATGATGGAGATATAAGTAAGACATAAGGTATAACTAGACAATAACTAGAGAAAACTAGATAAAGCTAGACAATAACTAGGCAATAACTAGACAACAACTAGAGAAAACTAGATAAAGCTAGACAATAACTAGACAATAACTAGACAATAACTTGAGAAAACTAGATAAAGCTAGACAATAACTAGGCAATAACTAGACAACAACTAGAGAAAACTAGATAAAGCTAGACAATAACTAGACAATAACTAGACAATAACTTGAGAAAACTAGATAAAGCTAGACAATAACTAGGCAATAACTAGACAACAACTAGAGAAAACTAGATAAAGCTAGACAATAACTAGACAATAACTAGACAATAACTTGAGAAAACTAGATAAAGCTAGACAATAACTAGGCAATAACTAGACAATAACTAGACAATAACTAGCCAATAACTAGACAATAACTAGACAATAACTAGCGATAAAGTCTCTAGAGTAATTTTCATTTTTCGAGCACTTTACCGAAGATAAGTTTGGAAAATTTTCTTATGACCCACCAAAAATTGACTCAATTTGGTCGATTTCGAGAAAAGTATGTGAAAATTTTTGAGGTAAAAGAACAAAACGAACAATCGTCTAGATCAATGACAGATTCGAGAGAGAAGAAAAGAAATTAGTGGAACAGAATGGAAAAAGATAGGAAAAAAGGGGATAAAATTGTGGATTGGGTTCGATTTTCGGAAAATTTCGATTATATGGTGGCATACTGTCGTAAAGATGTGTCATAGAATGCAGTAAACAGTAAAAGAAAAGTAAATATCTATTTGACTGTCTTCTCTCAGCCGTCTTTGAGCCAAAAAAGCTGAAATTTTTTGGTTTGGAATGACTTTGGAATGAATTAGATCGAGAAGAAGTCGAAAATCATTGATTAGATGGTGGATTGGTTAAAAAAAATTGATTAAATGATGTGATTAATCGGTTAGAGACGATATCTATCTTAGACGATATCTTAGAGACGATATCGATAGACAATATATCAGTAAAATCTCCTTTTTTGATTTCCAATCGAAGAAAATCGATGATTTGTCGAAAATAGCAATTAAAAAAATCAATATCAATGTTTGTTCGAATAACTATTTCGAAAGATCTTCTTCCGTGAGCCAAAAATCACTTTGACAAGAGGATTTGGTGTGATGCAAGAGGATGCTGATGCTCACAAGGCTGATTCAGAACTAGCAAAATCAGGATTTCTCCGATTTGCTCACCTTTAATGACCAATCCAATCGATTTCACTCTTTGAAATATTCTTGAAGCAAAAAAAACATCCTGAAAACCACATTCCAACATCGATTAGATAAGTTTTTGCTTAGAAAATCACAATAAAACGATGATTTGACTGTGTGACTGTGTGACTATGGGTTTTGTTTGTGAAAAGGGAATGGGAGCAGGGGAATGAATGGGAAAAGAGAACGAGGATTCACAAAGCCCGCGACCACCCATCACGTTTCTTTTCAGAAATAATAATAATAATAATAATACTTTATTCAAACGATAAAGTGAAAGAAATGATAGAGAAATGCACAGTGATACTTAATCATACAATACATACTGAAATCAATAAGCCAATTACTTACGGCAAAGAGCCACTAGATCTAAAGCATCGATACGTTTCTTGAATATGAAAAGCGACTGAATTTCTCGTATGTCGTTTGGGAGCAAGTTCCATAATCTAGCGGCTCTAACGGGAAATGAATTTGATAAAGAGGCATTGGAAGCAAAGGGAATTTGCAAAAGGAATGAGCCACTTCTGGGCCCTGACCGCGGTTTAAATTTGAAAAATTTTTTCTCTATTTTTCATTTGAACTTTAATTTTTATTATTAAAAAAAAGCAATATTTCCGGAAATTTGTGGCCTTTCTAACGGAAATTTTTGCATTTAGAATTAATTATTAATTGCAGTTTTCTTTTTGGTTATCAAAATATCAAGAATAGAGGCTTTTTTTTAATAATAATAATAATAATACTTTATTCAAACGATAAAGTGAAAGAAATCATAGAGAAATGCACAGTGATACTTAATCATACAATACATACTGAAAGAAAGAAAGAAAATATAAAGAAATTAACAACAACTAACAGCATAATACTAACAAGATTGAAAAGAAAAAAAAGAATGTTTTAGCTTTTATTTGCTTATAACGATAAACAAATCATATAATGTTTTCGATATTCGATCGTTTACAAAGAAAATTTTTGGGGACGCATTCTAAAATGCACTAGCAAGCAACACATTCGAGATTTTTGTTTTGTTTTGAATTTGAAAATTGATGAAAATGAGAAATGCCGCTATTTCTTGCTGAAAAGCGAAAGGAAACGATGTTTGGTCGAGCAACGCAAGAGCACTTACAAAGAAAAATTTTGGGGACGCATTCTAAAATGCACTAGCTACCGTGATCCGCAATTTCCATTGCTTGAAGCCATTTTCCGTTGTTTTTATTCATTTTTCATCGTTTTTCTTTGCCATTTCATCGCAAATTCATCAAGATCAACTGCTATAACAGAAGTTAAGTGTTTTTGATTCCTTTCTTTTTCGGGAACGGTTCTTTGTTTCCTTTGTTTTAATGACTTTTACAGAGAGATGGGCGAACATAAATGTCGAATTGCCAAAACTTTTAACGAAACAACAACAGAAACAACAACAGAAACAACAATAAGGTGCCTTGATAAAACAAATCGTTGAACAGTTGGTAAATAGTTAACGATTTTAAATATTCTTTTGTTTTTTGTGACATTTATGTTTGCCATACTCTTTATTAAGAGACAAACTGTGGCCGTCTGTCCTGTCTGCCGATTTCTCGGCACTGCTAGGTGAAATTTGTTGGTTGTTACTTACCCGAAAGACTTACAATCGATCGATAGTCTTTCGCTTGTGCATGTTTGGTCAGAAATCAATCAAGATCCTCAATCAAGATCCTCAATCAAGATCCTCAATCAAGATCAATGAGGGCTTTTTTGTGTCGACCCAGTCAATATCTCTTAATCAAGTATCATAACGAGATTTTCCCCTTCAAAAATGACGAAAATGACTCGAGTCCTGGCTAGAGCTTTCAGAAATTCGGGTATCGGGCTTAGAAGATGAAGAAGATGACCTGCCCATGTTTACGAGCTTCTTCACGAAAGTACGGATTGGAAAACTTTGAGATTCTCGAAAAGCTTGGCACAGGATTTCGTTGAGTATTGAGTTGGAGGATTTCGGCTGAAGAGATTAGTGCTTACCGGTTTGAATTGACCAGTTTTAAGCACAACAAAAACTGGGATTTGACCAAAGATCGTGGAATTCCGAAATCGAGAAATGTCAATTATTATTTGTGATGTTTTACCATTGATCAATTGTTAATTTAACGCTTAGAAAAAGTCAACATGCAAATGAATTTATTGCAATTTATATCAATTAGATAGAAGAAAGTTTAAAGTTGATAGTGATATTCTTTTTTGGTTCATGTTATATAGCTCATTGAACATCCACCGTGAATGGGCCGTCCTGTTGCTCAATCCAGAGCTGACAGTCTCTGAAAAGAAAACTGTTAAACAAAAACAATAAAGAATTCAGACTGTGGTAAAGGACAAACTGATTTAGTTTCAAAAAAAAGCTAGGCTAGAGTCCAGGACTACAATGCTAGGCAAGAGCAGGACTTTTCATCGTGTTCCTTTTTCAAATTTCTCAGCCTTTCTTTTCCCTAAACCTGAGATAAGTGTAATATGTGTAGATAGAGAAGAGAATCCAAAACGCGATCGGAATCAAGAGAATCGTGGCCAGGGCATAGGCTAAAAGTAAAATCTCATCTAAAGAAAAGCCTTCGATCTCACCAATCAACATCATCAGCGCTTGTTTCTTCAGATCCATATAGCGAACATCGATTTGACTGAAACGTACTGAAACTTAAAGGGGCAGCTAGATAAAGTTTAACCCTTTTGAAGAATCAAATAAACTTTACTAAGAGTTTTGAAAGTTAGAAATAGAAAGTATCTACATAGCTCTAGTATTTACCGTATTTTCTGTAATAGTAGTGCGCACTACTATTTTTTCAAGCCCCCTCCAGACTGCACTACTATTACAGACTGCACTACTATTATAGACTGTACTACTATTACAGACTGCACTACTATTACAGACTGCACTACTATTACAGAAAATACGGTAAATATAATAGACTAATACTTTGTATTGTTTCCTTATGTGTTCGTATTTTTGAATCCAGCATCAAAGATGAAAAATTACCCAAACGTAGTCGTTTTTGCTATAACTTTTTCGCTAATCGTCGAATAACTTTATAATTTTCGTATTAAGCTTGTAAGGTTTTGAGAATAATTCGTTTAAAATCTCACTCAAATATATTGATTCTACAGGGTGCGGCAGAATTATAGGTGCAGAGAAATTCCATTGGAATATGACCAAAAAACGAAAAATTTGCCACAAAAACAGTTTTAACATATTTATTGAACTTAAATTAACAACTTTTATTGATCATATTCGAATCTTCCTCCTTTGGCGTCGATGCAAGACTTGAGTCGCTTGGGAAAGGCGTCGACCGTGGCGACCAAGTAGGCGGCGTCCAGACCCTCCCAGGCTTTCAAGAGAGATTTCTTCAAACTTTCGAGGTTTTTGTGAGGCTTCTGACAGGCCTCGGCTTCAAGAACAGACCAGACCGAGAAATCCAATGGATTGGGGTCTGGGGAGCTTGGGGGCCACTCGTTGAATGCAATGAAGTCGGGAAAAGTCGCTTTGCAGAAATCCTGAACAATCTTGGCTTTGTGAGCGGGAGCACCATCTTGCTGGAAGGTCCAGATGCGATTTTGGAAGTGATTTTGAGCCCAGGGAACAAGTTCTTTCTTTAGCATATCCAAGTACGTGTTCGCATTAACTTTGACTCCTTGTGGCACAAAAATCAGTGGTGTCTTGCCGGAAGCCGTCACACCGCCAAAAACCATGACTGAAGCTGGGTGGCCGCTGCGACCGACGGTAACATTTGGTTGAGTTTTCGACCAAACTCGATCTTTCTGCTTGTTCAGAATTCCTTCAATCGTAAAAATTTTCTCATCGGTGAACAAAATGTTCCTGTGGTCGATTCCGTTGAAACGAAGACGAAGGCTTTCACATCGATCTTTTCTCTTCAATTTGGCGTCTGCCGAAAGCAGAGCGGATTTGTTCTTCTTGTAGGGCTTGAACTTGAGCTTGTCCTTGATAATTCGACGGATTGATCGATCGGATACACCCATATGTTTGGCAATTCTTCGAGCGGACTGATTGGGCTTCTTTCGCAGGCGATCCCTGACCTTCTTGATGTTGCCTTTCGTCATCACAGATGGACGAACACCTCATATCAGACATTGATCCCAACTCGTTGTAGCGTTGAATGGCTCGGTTAACAACGTTTCGATGCACTCCCAACTTTCTTCCGATCACGGTCGCCGATTCGCCCTTCCGATGAAGTTCCACGATCAATTGTCGATGCGGGGAAGCGCGAACCATAGCCTGAAACTCAAAGTTATAAAAAATTATAATTTACAAATACAAATTCAATCATAAAATAACAACAAAAACATAAATTCGAGTGCAAAATCAAGAGCGAAGGTTCGTTTTCCGTCTTTATGTCATGCACCTATAATTCTGCCGCACCCTGTATGCTGAGATATTAGCAATTTAAGGAATGATCAAGACATTTTTGCGAATAGAAGGACGATTATGTAACACTATAAAACAGCTGTTCAAAAGAAAAAGAAAAACTTAAAAAGGAGTCGAACCGTCGATCTCGAGCTTTGCATTGAGACGTTCTCTGAGACGTTCTCTGAGACGTTATCCTCTACGCTACACTACGCAACCATGTCTTCGTCACGCGCGCGCCGGCATTATAAGAGAGGGCAAAGGATTTGTTTCCCAAATTCCTATCTAGCAACCTATCTAGCAACCTATCTAGCAACCTATCTAGCAACCTATCTAGCAACCTATCTAGCAACCTATCTAGCAACCTATCTAGCAAATATCGACAACAGATTCAGAATTAGCGTCAAATTCTGCATCGAATCGTCTAAGTGTCATTTCGATATGGTCGCCATGATTTCGTGAACTTGTCCTTGTCAAATTTCAAAACCTAATCTACCTATAAACCACAGCAAGACCTATCGTCGTGTAAACAAGAGCGATCACCGTCAAAATGTGTCCAATAATCTGAATTTCTTTTATTCTTTTTAACATTTTCGATCTTTCTTTTCCAAATGATCAACCTGAGCAATCCAGTAAATTTGAATGTAAAATGGTTTCCTCGTTTTCACCGCCATCACCCCGACAATAAATACGCTCAAACCGATTAGAAAACCAAGCTGTAAGTGAAAAAGAAAATGTTATTTATGTTATTTATAATAATATTTGTAATATCTCTTATATTCTATTTATTTATTACAATTTTACACTTACTAGACCGACGAATTGTGTTTGTGGAATGGATCGAGCCAAGCTCAAGAGTCCAAAAATGCTCACACCGAGAATCACTTGAAAACAAATCTGAAAAAAGTCTAACTACTAGAAATTAGATATTAGGAAAGCTCTACTTTTTTATATTTTCTAGTCTAGATTCTGATTTACCCAAAAACATATAAAAAATGTCAAGTAGAGAGCATGAACTAGAGCAGAACTAGAGCAGAACTAGAGCAGAACAGGGAGCAGAAATGGAAATCGTTTTGGTAAATAGCTTCATTGAATTTCCCTATTTCTAAATGCTCACCCTTTAGAAAATGTGTTCTTTTTGCTAGCTTAGGTCATTGTAAAAGATCTTTCCAAGCCAGATTTTGCTTTTAAAACGCTTACCTCACTCTTACACACTCCACAACAGCCTCGATATTCCTCGTCATCCGGATCGGGCTCCTCATCCACACGGCGATTCGGTCTCCACACCCAAACTGGCATTTCAATTTGACTGAAAATGATGTAAAGTATCGATATCTAGAGAGTTTTCATTCTAAAAAAGAACACTATTCGATGAAATATGTAGCTAAAACGGTTTTTGGAAGACTAGATTATCAGTGAAGTTTCTAAAAGATCCTTAAATACCAAAACGATGATAGGTTTTGTCAATTTTTCTATTTCAAAAACAAAAACGTTATGGAAAATCGTTCACTCGATGATTCATTGTCAGCTATTTTTCAATGATTTTCGTTAATTAGCGACCGTGGTTTATCTCTTTTTTTACAATTTTTCAATTTTTCAATGTTTTATTGAGAAATTCTAAACCATTTCAATGATTTTCGTGAATTAGCGACCGCGGTTTATCTCTTTTTTTACAATTTAAACTAAAGGCTTGATCGGTACGAATGTTTTTTTTTAATGAAAATTCACATTTTTCTTGTTCAATGAAATTTCAATAGAGAGAAATGCTGATCAAATTAGGAAGGGAAACACACAAATATTTCTTGCTTCATAGAAGTAATCAAAACAAATCAGGGTCGATGTTCCTGCTCGTCACTTATCGATAATTTTTTCACAAGGAATTACACTCAAAAAACGGTTACCAACAGTGAAACAACGGTTACCAACAGTGAAACAATAAAACTGCTATGGTTAAAAGCTTGATGAAAGTGGAGGGAATTCAATTGGAATTATTGCCACGTGTAGCTGGTCGTTTCTTTTATTGTTTTCCTTTTCGAAAGTAAACCATTGATACAAAAAAAAAATACTGCAAAACCGGTTAAATTACCCCATCGAACAGAGAAATTTTCATGGAGACAGATTATTTTTTTTTCATTTTAAACAGCGGATTCTTTAATTAGAGATTGTTTGTTTTATATACAGGGTACGCCATAATTACCCGCACAAGATATTCAACGAATTTCATACCAAAACTCTGTACCAAAAAAAGAATTTTAAACTAAAAGAAATTTATTGGACAAGAAGAAACAAGAAAACGAGAGTCGACTCAATATGTCCTCCTGTTGCTTTAATAACAGCCTTCAAGCGATTCGGGTAAGACTCCACGGCGGACCGAATGTGACTTTGAGGAATTTCTTTCCATGTTTTGGTCAAAGACTTCTTCAAAGCGTCATCGCATACGTCATAGCATACGTCATAGCATACGTCATAGCATACGTCATAGCATACGTCATAGCATACGTCATAGCATACGTCATAGCATACGGTTTATGATGCGATAGCACTTTCTCCCATATTGGTGTTGCTCGACTTGGATCCATTCGTTCAACCGATGCAATCGCGTCCCCACTGCACCAACCACCAACTAAAGATCGAAAATAGACAAAAATAGATAAACGAGGGTTTATAGCCAACAAAGTAAAGAATTGGGAAGACTAAGATGATCAGTGAGTTTCCGACAAACAAACAGTTTACTCACCCGCATACGCCGAGGCAGTTTGAGTCGTCGAATGATGTCGGGTGGAGAAACGATGAAGATCAAGTATCACCCCTCGACTTGCCGATGGCTTCACCATTTTACGTTCACCTAAAAACTTCAAATAAATTACGAAATAAAACAGATAGAAATAAACAGAATACAAAAGAATGTTGTTCAGTAAAAAGAGAGGGAAAAAAAAACACTTTTAACAATGTGGCCTATGAAATGTCGTGCGGGTAATTATGGCGCACCCTGTATGTCGTAGCCGATTATGATTATCAAATGATTTCGCTAGCGAAAACTATAATCGGCTAGCCGATTATGAATAAAAGTAGCTTTTTCTAGAAATTTGCCGTCAAATGCAAACTATTATGTTGATATTTAATTGTTTAGTGCTGTTGTCAAGGTTGTCTGTTGTTGTCAAGGTGTCCTGACGTTTTAACCACGTTTATTGAATGTAAACGAAAACATTTTAACAAATTATCTAGAGTTAAACAATAACGATATAGATAACAACAAATAACAAGAACAAAATTGACAAGCCAAAAGATTAACAAAGGTTTACAAAATTATCCCTTGTTCAAGCAGGAATTGCTATGGTGACATCGGCTATTACAGAGGACATTGGCTTTTCGACAGGCACACCTTCAATTGGTGCCCGACAGTGGCTACAAGTTTTCGATGATTTACCAGGATCTTCTCACAAAATTTGTAATCCTTCGTGCGTTAAAATCAAAAAATCAATTGCAACTGCAAAAATGGATGTTTGAATGAACGACAAAAATGGATGTTTGAAAAAACACCGTTCATTCAAACATCCATTTTTGCAGTTGCAATTGATTTTTTGATTTTAACGCACGAAGGATTACAAATTTTGTGAGAAGATCCTGGTAAATCATCGAAAACTTGTAGCCACTGTCGAGCACCAATTGAAGGTCAACCAAATCGATTTGACATCGCTCATTTTGTTCTTTTGTCACAATTGGTTTTATAACAATTCCTTTCTTGTATTGTAACAAAGTAATGCTTGTATTGTAGTGATAGAAAAGTTAGAAACTCGGCGCCAGATTTATAATACTTTGTCCTCCTTGAAGTTCTCCATCAGGTTTATTTGAATGGATTAAATATTGGATCAAATATTGGATTAAATATTGGATTAAATATTGGATCAAATATTGGATCAAATATTGGATCAAATATTGGATCAAATATTGGATCAAATATTACCCAAACGATACGGATCACAGAGTGGCTACCACGAGACCAGAAGAGGCCCATCGGAAGACCAGCAACGAGGTGGAGCACAAGAGTGGCACAAGAGCAGAGACGGTCAGAGGAAGGATGGCTAGAGTGCAACCGCCACCAGCACTAGCAAGTCGAAGACTTCGAACTGAGGAACAACCAAGATAGGAAACACCTGGATGACAATAGCAAGGGATAGAGAAATGTGGAAGCAGGTTGTGATCTGCGCAAATAGGAACACCTAAGTGCGAAGACAGATCAAAAAAAAATATTACCCAAATGGGGACTATTTCTAGTGAAAAAGTTGAGATTTGCGTTCGAAACGAGTAAAATTGTGATATCCAAGGTACTCTATTCTCTGTAAACCTTTGAAAGTCTTTTCCGAAAAGCAAAAAAAAAAATGTGTGACGTTTTTCTTCGAGGAACGGCTCGATGATGTATGTGTGAAAATGAAGCGAAGACTTTGTTTTTTCCCTTCCTTTTCCTTAACACTCGACAAATTGGGGATTACTTGTGTGTGGACTCCATTTTTCCTTATGCTTTCCTTGTGCTTTATCAACTTTGAACTGAAATCTATCTGTATTTTCTATTTCTTTATTTGTCAATCTTTTGATTTTCGAACACTCGAGTCAGTCTGTTTTCAATCATCATAAAAAAATGGGTTGAACTTTGGATTAGGGAAAGTCGAAAGACAGAAAAGAACTTTCTTTTGTAGTTCTCTTTTTAGTTCTCTTTTTAGTTCTCTTTTTAGATCTCTTTTTAGATCTCTTTACAATTAAGATCCACAATCAATCATTAAAAAAAAAACAGAAAAGTTATGTAGTTTTTTTTCAAATTAAAATTGAAAGTTCGATTTGATTTGATTGAATGAATGATTTGTCAACGGATTTCTGATTGGTTGTTGATTGGAAAAAGGAGAGATTTTGAAGGGATTTTGAGGAGATTTTGAGGGGATTTTTGTTAAGATTAAAGCTTGTTGTTGGGGGGTTTTTTGAGGGGAAAAGATCGAATGATGAATGGGAATCAATTTTTCAAGGGGAATCAATTTTTCAAGAGGGAATCACTCAATGAAAGTTTGAAATTTGAAAAGGAGAAAAAGGAGACGGATTGCTTGCTTTTATATTGCTTTTATCTTTTTAAAACTAAATCATTGTACGATCCTATTCTATTCTTTAGTATTGTAGTAGTCTATTCAATATTTAACGATGTAAACAATAAACTTTCTGATGCACTTTGTGTACTTTTTGCACAATAAGTCAGAGAAAGGAGATTTTCGTTCACTTCTTTGTACATAAAGAAGTTGAATTTCAACTTATCTAACTATTTTTACAATAGTTTTACCTTGACAATTTTTTTTTGACAACTGACAACAATTTTACAATTTTACCTTACTCTAAAACTCTAGAAGTAGAATTTAAACACTCATAAGCTAATAAAAAAGGTTTCTTTTTTTGCGTTTCTATTTTATTCCTTTAAGGTTCCTTTAAGGTTCCTTTATAGTTCCTTTATAGTTCCTTTATAGTTCCTTTATAGTTCCTTTATAGTTCCTTTATAGTTCCCTTTATAGTTCCTTTATAGTTCCCTTTATAGTTCCTTTATAGTTCCCTTTATAGTTCCTTTATAGTTCCTTTATAGTTCCTTTATAGTTCCTTTATAGTTCCTTTATAGTTCTCTTTTTAGTTCTCTTTTTAGCTCTTTTTTAGATCTCTTTTTAGATCTCTTTTTAGATCTCTTTTTAGATCTCTTTTTAGATCTCTTTTTAGATCTCTTTTTAGATCTCTTTTTAGATCTCTTTACAATTAAGATCCACAATCAATCATTAACCACAATCAACCACAATCAATCACAGTCGAGAACATTGTAACGTCAAATTTCTCGATATTCTATTAATATAAACTTTGTCTTTTTCTTTTCTCAATTCGATGATCAGATGTTTTCTTTTGTATTTGAGGCTATTGAGAGGTGATGGAATGAACTGTTGAAAGCAGTTAACAATTAACTTAAGCAGTTAACTCATGGAAACAATAACCTTTTTGATTCTATTCTTTAGTATGTAAGGATGTAGAAAAAAATCTTTATGGTTAACTTTGTGTACTTTTTGCACAGCGAGTCAGTAAGAAAGGAGATCTTCGTTCACTTCTTTAAACATTAAATAAACTGAATTTTAATTTATCTAACTATCTAATCTAACTAACTGAGTCATTTTTGATATTCTATTAATATCAGCTTTTTTCTTTCGCAATTTCATCAATCAGATGTTTTCTTGTGTATTTGAGAGAGAGGTTATTGAGAGGGAGAGGTGATGGAATGAACTCTTGAAAGGAGTGGAGAATGAGTGAGCCTTTCCTCCCCTTCCCACCTCTTTACCCATTGAAAGCAAAGGAAATTTCTTGGCCTCTTTTCAGGTGTAAAGCGATCAGAGGGAAAAAAAAGAGAAAGAAAGAGAAAGAAGAAAGAATCCCCGTTTGAAATCCCTTCATTTCTTTCATTTCTCAACGAATAGGAAAGTCCCTTTTTCAATGAACTGCTCCATTTCTTCCTTTCTTTCTTTCTTTCTACCTTTCTTTCTTTCTTTCTTTCTTTCTTTCTTCCTTTCTTTCTTTCTTTCTTCCTTCAGCTTCTTCACCTTTTTCTCCTTCTTTCTCTCACCAATCCACAAAACTTTCCATCACAAATCCCATTTACTTGTACTTCTTTGTTCAACATTTTCTGTGATCTCTCATCATTTTTCCTTACTTTGATTCAGAATACAGGCTCTAGGTATACAGGCTCTAGTTATACAGGCTGTAGTTATACAGGCTCTAGTTATACAGGCTCTAGTTATACAGGCTGTAGTTATACAGGCTCTAGATATACAGGCTCTAGATATACAGGCTGTAGTTATACAGGCTGTAGTTATACAGGCTCTAGATATACAGGCTCTAGTTATACAGGCTGTAGTTATACAGGCTGTAGTTATACAGGCTCTAGATATACAGGCTCTAGTTATACAGGCTGTAGTTATACAGACTGTAGTTATACAGGCTCTAGATATACAGGCTCTAGTTATACAGGCTGTAGTTATACAGGCTCTAGTTATACAGGCTGTAGTTATCAGCTAATCAAATTGCAAAATGGTGACAGGTAGTCACTTTGATTCAGAATGATGATTTTTAAATGAAAACTTCCTCTATTTTCTTTATTTCCTTTATTTTCTTCTTTCAACGAATTCTCTACATTTTCCCCGTCAAACACAATGATCTTTATCGATTATAAAATTCACATTTTCTCGCTAATTCTCGATATGATTTCGTTTATTTATAAGCATCATGAATAACTTATTGATTCTATGTAAAAACGATTGTTTAAAGTAATCTATTGTAATAGACGATTGTAATAGACGATGAATGGAGTCACTGATAAGGAACAAATCACAAATTCTTTCTCATTTTAAACTCTCAAGCATTTCTCGGATACTTTCCTCTAAAAATTCTTGTTGTATGACGCGTTCTCTTTTCTCTGATCTCATCTTTTGGATCACATTTCGAGAGTTCATTCCTTTGTCGATAGTTTAGTTATTCCCTGAGTTCAAAAGCCATTGCAAATCATTCAACGATGAAATCAGGCTTTAGTATAGTGAATTCGAATGGGTGGAACAGCATTTTCTGTCGGTTTTTAACTCTAGCTAACTCCAACTGATTGTTACTCAGTGTTGAGTCATTTAAACAGATCAACGATTGCACTAGATCAATGATCAATGATCAATGATCGAATGATTTCATAGAATTCAGAGTCTGTTATCGGAGGAAAATGATTGCTCCAGGCGATCTGTTCAATTAGCTTATAGTTCTAATATCAAATCCTAAACTAAATTAC